CAACGCTGTTCTGATTGGACCAGTGATACTATCATCACATTCGGTTCAATCAGGGCAATCCTTCTTGTTGAACCCTGAACAACCTCAATGAAAAAAGCATTTCAAGATGGCGGAAAAGTTGAGAGTGATTTGCTGATTATAAATACAAACTTTTAAGTGAAGATTCCAGATAGCTGAAAACCCAAACCGAACATTTACTTTAAATAATAATCAAATTTAATAATAAAAACACTAAAATAAAAATTGTACTCAAACAAAAATGGCACATAATGCAAAACAAAGTGTGTAAAATTTGTGATCAAATTGAAAGAACTTGAAAGTTAAGTGAATTTCCATCCATCCATCCATCCATCCATCAATCAATCAATCATTCAATCCATCCATCCATCCAAAATAAAAGATAGTAATGGCTCAGTTTTAGAAACCAAAAATAAATGGCACCAAAAACAATTGAAAAAAAAAAAAAGAAGAGGCAGCTATTTTGGACAAATATTTTCAGTTGCTAAAACTGAGGCATCACTATATTTATTTTAATATACTATAGTTTTGTTATCTTAGGTTATCTTATGCTAACATCAATCACCAATGTGCCGTGAGGAACGCATGGAGAGCGTTCCAAATCAGGAAACTTTATTTGGAAAACGGTTAGCAAATTGTTTTGCTAGAACAAAAAAAAAGGAAAAAAAAAAAGTGAAGAGCCTGCAAGGAACTGTAGGGGAATTTGACCATCGCCGATTGCAGAGGAGGAGGTGAAACCACAGGTTAGGGCGCACCAAAGTCAACTTCTTTTCCACACACCTTCCATAACACCACCATACCTCCAACTGGTCTTGCAGGGCACGATAGGCTATCGCTTATCAACGTTCATGTGTGTGAAAACAAATCAGCAAAAAAGGGAAAGGAATATACAGTAAAACAAAAGGATAAGGGGACAGAATAGGAGAAATAATCTCTCTGCTGACACATGGCACAGGCGGGTAAAGACGGAGGCCCAGGGCTGTTGTCTGAATGCCAAACAGCAGCCGTGTGCTGCAGAGCTGGTGCAGGGGATAATTCGGAATCACTGGGCACTGTAAACACAATAAATCAACCGCCCCACAACACACTGCTGATACACACCACTGACTCCCTGCATATTCAACAACACACACACACACACTGAGCAGTCTATTCACTCCACAGACATGCAAGTCTAAAGCGAAGGCAAAGACTTCAAAAGAAAAAAAGTAGTATTCGGATATGTGGATTGTGAATGCTGTTCAGACCACTGATCTATATAATGACTGGATAGCTCATCACGTCCCAAACTGTGAAGCCACCAGAAGTGTTCGAGTGGCCATCTTACAATTCCTAACAGCTTCCCAACCAGAGATTAGAACCTCCGACCTACTTTTAAGACTTTTAACATCATACGAGTGTAAAACGAAGTTCATAAAAGGATTTAGTAAAACTGCCCACAGGTTGTAATTTAAAGGGGAAATGAAGCGGTGAATCAAGTTTACATGATTTACAAGATGGATTTCCAATATAATCAACAATTATATAAGGAACATTACAAATGTAAACATTTAGAAGAAAAAAAGAAAAAAACTTTGTATTTTTCGCCGCCAGGGCGCCGCCATTGTGCAGTTGACGTCATGGGATTGGTTGGCTCAAGTTTAACAGGCTCTGGACATTGAATCGCGACATCAAACTGTGTTTACACCAGTGTTTTGACGGCGAACGACTAATGTTAGGTACAGATATTAGACAAAAAGACGACGTCTCATGTTATATGTTGACAAACTGCACATAGAAACATTGTTCGCGATGTCTGCCGTCAGATATTCCCGTCTCGTCAACAAAATGTAAGTTAGCATTTGTATTTATTAAAGGATTAGTTCACTTTTGAAAAAAACTTTTGCTGATAATTTACTCACCCCCATGTCATCCAAGATGTCCATGTCTTTCTTTCCTCAGTCGAAAAGAAATTAAGGTTTTTGATGAAAACATTCCAGGATTTTTCTCCATATAATGGACTTCAATGGGAACCGGATGGTTCAGGGTCCAAAAGACAGTTTATAACAGTTTCAGATGCAGCTTCAAATGTCTTTAAACGACACCAGACGATGAATAAGGGTCTTATCATGCGAAACGATCGGTTATTTCAAAACTTATTCCAAAAATGTAACTTTTCTAAGGACAAATGCTAGCCTTGCTCTATTCTGTGAGGCGCGTTTGTAACGTCACGTATTACGTAATTACGTTCAAAAGGTCACGGGCGACGTAGCCGGAAGTACTGAGTCAGAGTGTTTACAAGTTGAACGCATAGGTTGAACGTGAAAACTAACTCAAACGCCGTTTACAAAAAAGGAATTAAAAGGTAAAACAACGATGTCGGACGATTTTGATTCTGTACTTCCGGCTACGTCGCCCGTGACCTTTTGAACGTAATTACGTATTACGTGACGTTACAAACGCGCCTCACAGAATAGAGCAAGGCTAGCATTTGTCCTTAGAAAAGTTACATTTTTGGAATAAGCTTTGAAATAACCGATCGTTTCGCATGATAAGACCCTTATTCATCGTCTGGTGTCGTTTAAAGACATTTGAAGCTGCATCTGAAACTGTTATTAACCGTCTTTTGATACTTGAACCATCCGGTTCCCATTGAAGTCCATTATATGGAGAAAAATACTGGAATGTTTTCATCAAAAACCTACATTTCTTTTCGACTGAGGAAAGAAAGACATGGACATCTTGGATGACATGGGGGTGAGTAAATTATCAGCAAAAGTTTTTTCAAAAGTGAACTAATCCTTTAAAGGGGAAATGAAACGTCCATATTTTTGCACTGGTAGTGCTAGTAACGTTAGCTACAGCCTACATATACTAGGAAAAAGTGTCTCCGCAATGACATCCTTCAGGGAAAGCATCGCCGCTTCCACACGTCTAACTCCCGGTACAGCATGGTAAACGTGCACGCCGGTGATGTAGAATTGACCACGAAACACATGCTCAAGATGAACCTCTAGACAACAGATGGACTCTGTTGACACGGAGGGCATCGCAGGACAACAGCCACACTGACACCTGGTAAGTTAGCGTTGCAAACCCGCTCTTCGAACCACCACCGGCTGTTCTACATAGCAACGTAACTTACATGTTATTGACGAGACGGGAATATCTGACGGCAGACATCGCGAACAATGTTTCTATGTGCAGTTTGTCAACATATAACATGAGACGTCGTCTTTTTTTTTACCTAACATTAGTCGTTCGCGGTCAAAACACTGGTGTAAACACAGTTTGATGTCACGATTTTCAATGTCCAGAGCCTGTTAAACTTGAGCCAACCAACCCCGTGACGTCAACTGCACAATGGCGGCGCCCTGGCGGCGAAAGATACAACGTTTTTTCTTTTTTTTCTTCTAAATGTTTACATTTGTAATGTTTCTTATATAATTGTTGATTATTTTGGAAATCCATCTTGTAAATCATGTAAACTTGATTCACCGCTTCATTTCCCCTTTAAGTCGTAATTTATATGCACAATTTCCGTGTTGTTTTCTGTTATATTCCTGAACAAAATAAAAAAATAAAAAAAACAATTATTAACAAAGAAAATTAATAATGAATTATATAACTATTATAAGTATATTCAACCTTACTCTGATACATTGAGTATACACACGTAAAGCGCCATATATTATATGACAAATGCCAAGTAGTACTTAATTATATGCGGAAAAAAACTTTATTATCACCCATCAATATAACACTTATTGGATATATAATCCATCCTACTTTACCTGCATGTACAGCATACTCACATAAGCAATTTTTTTTAGATCTGTATTATCGCACAGATCTATATATACATTTCTCCACATACAGAGAGTACACTCAATTAGGCCGACACATACTTCACAGCATTTGTCAACTGCTTGAATGCTTGTCTCACCACAATAGAGGTGGGCGATAAAGCCGCAAAATTATCTCACGATATTTCAAGAAAATTTACATAATGATATTAATGACGATATAGAAAACAAAAAATGGAATAACATTTTATTGGTGATTAGTGGAAACAAAACAAAGGGCATTTTCCAATGCTAAATGCCCAATGGGCATCATTTTTATTACATTTATCTCACCTAAATGTTTGCTCATACATTGCAAAAGAAGCTTGATTTCAATTAGGGCTGTGCAAAAGTTAATTGCGATTAATCGCATCCAAAATAAAAGTCTGTGTTTACATAATATATTTGTGTGTGCTGTATATAATTATTTTGTATATATAAATACCTATGCATGCATGTATATATTTAAGAATTATTTGCGCTTAAATTCTGTATATATTTATAAATACATAATCTATATTATATAAATATAAATATTTTATTTATGAATGACACATTTTCTTAAATATATACATGCATGTGTGTGTATTTATATATACAGCACACACAAATATATTATGTAAACACAGACTTTTATTTTGGATGCGATTAATCGCAATTAATTTTTGCACAGCTCTAATTTCAATCTTTAAAATTGAATACAAAATTATAAAGATACAAATAAAAAGCAAAGTTTTTGGGTAGGCAATGCTGTATAAACTGAATAAACATGTAAAATAATACTGATAGTCTTTTAGTCCTGACTATACTGTATGTACAGCTGTGATAATTGATTGATTGACAGGATGAGAAGTAACAATTCTGATCAAATAAACACTCACATTGTAGTTCTGGTGACATATCTGCCCTCTCCGAGCCTCCATGCCTAAACCCTTTACCTCTCAATCGCATGGTACAAGTGAGTGTGCGAGGGGACGGGAAATAGAAGAGTCTCAAAGGGACGGTACAATGTCACCTTACAGCAGCTGCTGTTGTCATCACACTAATGCAGGCGCAGTGACCCCTTGACCCTGCCAGTTAATGAGGGAGGAGGGGGCTCACGCAAGGACGGCACATTCTGCGACTCGGGGGACCCAACAAAACCACACAGATACTTACCTGGAAATCTCTTTCTTCTAGAATCTCTTTCCTCCATCGCACCAGGAAGGCAGCACACACGTACAAATGGAAATGAGAGAATCCTTCAGGCTCCGCCTACAAACACAAAGATGACAGTGTCATCAATTGACTGAAGGGGTCATACCGATTTGCATTCTGACATTTTCATTATGACGTCACAATTGAAATAACAACGCCTGTTTTAAATATGCACATCCTCATTTGCATATGCTTATTCATCCACGTGATACCATGTTAAGGTACAAGGCGTTCGGAAAATATGAAATACAGATGTGCCATGTCACAATAAATTATTATTAGCATATAGCCCATCCTTGCCTTGTTTTTGAATTAATAAATCAAATAGTGTAAAATACATTTCAGAAAAAAACCATTTTCTCAATCTTTAACCACTGGCGAAATAGTATTTTTAAATAATTTATATTTTTAAATGGAAACAGTTAGATAAAGTGTTCGAAAGCATTGCATCCACAACAAATATATATTTCTATTTATTGAATATATACATATATATATATATTAGGGCTGTGCAAAAGTTAATTGCGATTAATCGCATCCAAAATAAAAGTCTGTGGTTACATAATATATTTGTGTGTGCTGTATATAATTATTTTGTATATATAAATACCTATGCATGCATGTATAAATATATATGCATCTGTATATATTTATAAATACATAATCTATATTATATAAATATAAATATTTTATATATGAATAACACATTTTCTTAAATATATACATGCATGTATGTGTATTTATATATACAAAATAATTATATACAGCACACACAAATATATTATGTAACCACAGACTTTTATTTTGGATGCGATTAATCGCAATTAACTTTTGCACAGCCCTAATATATATATATATATATTTTGTACCTTTCCAGTAATGATTTCATGTAGTTTAAAAGTGTTTAACTCCATTAATGAGAATGGCATATTTAATTTAATTATTTATATCAGAAGTAAAACATAGTTTAAATCATTGTTTCATTTATTTAAACTGTTATTGAGAACATGCACTGTATTTATTAGGACTCATGAAGATTTACTGTTTTGCTTCATCTGTGCGTCAAGTTTCATTAAACGGCTCAACGTGCTTGCTGCGCGAACACTTAAGAAGGGATGGATATTGGCTTCCATAGGCTTGGTGAGAGAAATTATATTTGTAGGCTATTCCAGCCTATAGGATATAATTTTCTTTAGATTTTTGGTCTAAAAGTGACAAAAAATACATTTAACTGCAGCGGTGTCGCCAATTCCCTTTGTTTCCAGAATGTGCGTACGCACGGCTCAAAGTTTGCTTAAAGGTGCGCACATTGTCCCGTCAAGTTTGTTTTTTATAGATCACAACCTTTGTGTGGAAACTGGCGTACGTACGTTTTTCGCTTTATAAATGAAACCCCCGATCATGGTTATAGGAACTCAAAAAGAAGCCTACGCAATGATTGACTCCTTGATCCCAATTAAATGGCTAGTTGATACTGATAAAATATAGTTTTACACATCTCTAATACTAATGTAAGTCTTAAAGGTGGGGTTGCAAAATCAGAATCAGAAAATAAAAAACTAAAATCATGAATAACCTTCTTTTGGTGCAAGTAACCTTTATTAAGAATAAAAAAAAAAAAAAAAGTGAAATTGATGAAGTGCTACAAAATTGTGCAAAAAGATCCCGTTAGGAACATAGAAAGAAGCCAGAGTTTATGACAATTTTCGAGAAAAGATCCTCTATTTAGTTTGACCTTTCATGTTTCTTATTTTAATTTTTCTCACCAATTATTTAATATCCTCATTTAGGTTCCTTGACACATTTTCTGACAGTGCAGAAGAACAAAAAAAAAAAAAACAATGAAATTAAAGGGCAGGCTGAAACAAGATGAGCCTTTGTGTGATGGCCTAGTGGGTATAATAATAGTAACCCTTTCAACAAGGCCTGCTGAATGGGACACGGAATGGTGCACGTTATTCTCCTCAAACACCTTGTACTGTGATAACCCTGTTGAACCTATCTATTCTTCATCTGAATATGAACACACCGGCATAGAAAAGAGCTGTAGTCAAAGCAGCAAGTCATCAACACTTGAAAGCAAAATTGATGCAACAATCACAGCCAGTCAGAACATGTGACGTTGAAACTAATTTCACTGTGGGTGGGATTATGGTGCCACATAAACTAAAACCAAGAAACAGACTCTGAAAATGTTTCATTTGTCACTTTATCACATTGTACCTGCACTGTAAAACCTGTTCATTAGTAAACAGTAACTTTCCTTTTTATATTTGGTAAAACTCAAATTATAATCTACCAGAGCATTTAATAAATTCCGTTTTTGGAAATGAAAAAGAACAATTCATCTTATAATTTACAGTGGGAAAACAATTATTTGTGATATTTGGATTTCATACATTAATTAAAATAACAACGTCTTTTCTGTTAACCAAATGCTTTTAAATCTCCGCTTGCCATTATGCGTTGCATAGTGACGTAACACTTTTGTTTTTGCCGCCATTTTTCATGAGCTGAACTCAAAGATCTAAGACTTTTTCGATGTCCACAAAAGGCCTATTTCTGTCAAATATTGTCCACAAATCTGCAGTAGCACCTCATTGCAGTACACAAATCCAGATCTGAGGGGCGGAGCTCAGGGGTGGAGCTGGGTAGGTTTAGGTTTATGTAAGGTGGGAGGAGTTGGATCTGGTTCTGACTCCTCCCCATAAATTTCATGTTCTGCAGTGAGGACCTTCTCCAAATCTGTCTTAATCTGTGTTAGTGAGCACTTCTCCTTTGCCGAGATAATCCATCTACCTCACAGGTGTGGCATTTCAAGATGCTTACTCACAGTGAGTGGCAAAAAGACTGAGCGGCTGTATTTGTTTTCAGCGTGAATGCGGCGAAAAACACAACACACAAAGTGGGAAAGAGCTTTGCGATTGACTGTACCACTAGATTTGACAAAAAAAAAAAAAAATCGGAGGTATATTTTTACAGACTGCTATAGAAAGAGGAGCAAATGGATCGCTGCAATTCACAGAAAAAAACTGGACGAAAGGTGGATTTGCAGTTATCATTTTGGGTCAATATGCTGAATTTAGCTGTAAAACCATACCCATATATTTTGTTTTGTTATATATTAACAATTCATCAATTCAATATTTATCAATGCATAGTAAGAATTATTGGATGTTTTTTTTTAATAAACACTGACCTAAAAAAAAAAAAAACTATAAAGTTTTAGGGCTGGACGATATGATGATATACTATATAGGCTATATATAACACTGATAGTGATCACCCGGATTTAGACCTACCTATATTGTATTTATCAAATTTGCTTTATGTTTAGGGCTATATTGCTTTTATTTCCCCGATGTTGAAATCAGTCAAACATAAATGTCAGGAAACACGATCTCAATATCCATGGATCACTGGATCTTTAGTAAGTTGTAAGGAACACTATATTGAGTCCAATGACTTAATATAGTGATCTTTCATATAATATATCAATATATCTTATTTCATATACCCCTGGTAAATATGATAAAAGTTTAAATTGATAAAATTGTTTGTTTAGTCGCATTTTCGCAGTTTCCCCTATTAAATTCAGTCACGCAGCAGATCTTTTGCCACTCGGTCAGGCTGAGGGGGCTGTTCCGGCGGGAAAGTGACGTCCTCTATTGCACAGGTATGCCTTATGGTGCCTTCACACCGGACGCGAATAGCGCGTCAGGCGCGAATGATTTCAACGTTAAGTCAATACAAAGACGCGTTACACACGTAAAAAATTCCTGCGGCGCGAATGAGGCGTGGAGCACGGCGCGGAAGACGCAAATACACCTCGTTTGTGCGAATGCCGCAAATTGAGCGTCTGGCGCGTTACGCGCAATGATTCAGTTAGTGCCATTTGTGCATTCACACGTTTGACGCGAATTCGTGTCTGCCGCCCGAGTTGAAAAATCTGAACTTTGCCGTGAATTTGCGCCACGTTAACCAATCAGGAGCCTAGCTGCTTGCTCACGTGGTGAAGTGTCTGGATGCTTCAATAAATTATTTTCTATTTATCATCAAAACAAAAATTAATGACAGCTAGTTTAGGTGGATGAGGACGAGGGTGATCCTCGCTCCGATGCGGGACAACAGGTCATCAAACTGGGCGCGGGACAGGCGGAAGTACCGCTGATAGCGCCCGTCATCCAGCGCAGCTCCTGGAGCGAGCAAATGGTGAAGCTAGCCAAACGGTTCACCTCAGAAGTGTCCAGAGGACACAAATATACAGCGACGATGATCCCCACGCCACTGTTCTGCTCTCCAGAGTAAATACAGAGCGGTGACTCTCTCGATGAATGCTCGGTCGACATAAAAACAATGGCCGCCAACGGATTTCGATTCTGCCGCGCGTAAATTTCGCTTCAAACTTTTGTTTTTACACGCGTCAGTTTCACTCGACACGCGAATTAACACAAAGTGGTCAAGCGTCAAACTAGACGCGTCAGGCGCGAATTTGACGCGCTATTCGCGTCCGGTGAGAACACAGCATTAGGCTGGCAATAAAAGGCTACTCTAAAAGGTGCAGTTTTACTCTATTGAGGGGTCCAGAGGTGGGTTTTTTTCCAGTGTGGAAAGGAAACGGTCTACAATTTAAGCAACAAATATTTGCCATCCCATTTCAGATCTCCCCATCTCTAAATAAGAAAACAAACTATGTTTGGTTTCTTGACGTATCAGTCAGACAGCATATTCCTCAACATGGATGCTTTCATGCAATTAGCCAAAAGTCTAGCCACCTGAGATGCCACCTGAGGAGCCCACGTGGCGTAACCGCTCCAGCTGGAGGTGCAATGAGCTCCGCACGCAGAGGAAGGGAAGATTATCTGCAATGCCAGACACGGACAGAGGGTCCTAATGAAAATCAATGGACGTTACTTCCAGCAATAAACAGGAAGGACAGGTCTCCCCTTCAAGGGTAAGCACGGGCAATGGAAATCTTCCCAACTGTACCACATGTTAGAGCACCACACACAAAACCGCGCAGTATACGCCAACGGTGGCAGGAAGTGGTTTTGAGA